ATAGAAAAGCTACTTCGTTCTCAATTACTTTTGGTTTGTTCTTTGGTGAAAAAGAATTTGCAAGAACTTGTTTTTATGCTAACATTTCAATTCTATAAGTATTTTTAAAAAGTCAAAGAATTAGCAAATAAAAATTTTGCACAGATTTTCTGTTATAGGTGGTTTCAAAACTTGATTTATAATCTATTCTAACCTTCCAGTCAATCCATTCTAACCTTCCAGTCTTTGAAAAAAAAGAACCCATTAATCTAGGAACGAGCTCCTCCTGGTCTCCCGCCAAAGTTCGACCAAAAACCACCACCATGTAGGCCTCCAAAAACTCGTAATGTAAGTTAACCTTTAATACTTTGCAGAAATTTGCAGAACCTGATTATTTTTCAATTTGCAAAAGTGCATTCAAAATATTTTTTGATTTGCTTGGTAGAAGTTCATTTTTCGAAAATTTTAGATTCCCGTAGTTATGAATGGTCGTTCGATAAACTACGATAACTTGAATGGGATTGGAGCTGGTCGGGCACCTCCTCCCGTTCCGCCGAAGCCCAAAATGAAGTAAGTTGGGATAAATTCATCCCCTGACCACTCAATTTCCTGTTTTTAGCATTGTACGACCAACTTCCATGTCGCCACCACCGCAAACAAATCAACTGGCAATCGAGAAGGATTCACCCGGCTTCGCACCATCTATCACTCGTGGCAGCCTGTTCACTGCTGCGAAAAAGGAGGAGGTGATAAAGTTCTAAACATGTTCGCTCAACTGTTTCACATCTCTCGCTCACACCAACGTACCATCAATTTGTGCCAGTTGTCCGCGCCGCGCGGCGACTTCTTTGATTAACACCTCTTGTCCTTTTCTCAAGTGTGTATGTATGATGTATGTCATCGTTGCGCCGTGTATGCAGTAGTTCGCTCCTTCAACATCTCTACATCAACCATGCTTGCTTGGTCCTTTAATTGTCCTATTCTTGTAGAGTTCTCCTTGCATTTATTGATTTATTGATTACTCTTTTACGGTTAATAATTTATACACTCTTGTATAGAGTTAAACTACTACTAACAAGCAGTTAGTGCTCATGATTCGTGTGATTTTTTTGTGGTGACATTATAATTCGCTACAGAATCAGTTACCACTACATTCTCTTGCCTTAATTGCTGTTTTTCATCATTATGTGAGATTTCTTTGTGAAATAGAAATGTTTTTAATTCTGCTAGAATTTTCTTCTTTTCAAAGAAATTAATGAAGAGCGGGCGGCGACCTTTCACCCCCTGTCCATCACACTGTTTTTAGCTCATGCAGTGATTTATAGGACTACCAATCTTTCAACACAATACGCCCGTCTCACTCTACTCTCCCCTATCTAACT